ATAAGGATTTGGCAAAAATCCTACAGCATCTGTATTGCAGACCTGACCTCACATAGATTAATTTATGAATATTTCAAACCCCACCATGATTAATTCAGAAGACCACCTACATTGTTGCACTCCCCACCACTGCTCATCTTGCCAGGGCTGGAGTATTCCCTTTCTCAAAGCATGTGTGCAGCCAGATTTGCACAGCACAAAAGGTGCACTCACAGCTAAAACGACAGGCACTGATCAATGAAAATAAGACAAAAAAGTTTCAGTATTGTAGAAAAGGTCCAGTCACACTTTGCTGTCATTTCCACACTACTTAGAATACTATGATCTGCCAGCACACACTACACTGGTTGAGATGAGATAGGGTACAAAGCACAAAATGCAGAACAATTTTGTCCATTTATTAGTTCAGGTCTTAGAAAAGAGGTAGCTAAAATATTCAAAGCCATTAGCCCAAAGTCTAGACACAAGTACTTTATTGCTTCTTTGCTGACCTAAAATCAGCTTTCCCTAAAGTGTCCAACTTTCCTGTAGAACTGAGAAGTTGTATCTTCCAACATTGCAAGGTTTAGAGTTTGAAATACCTAAATTTTTAACTTCATGTCTGATGTGAGTGGTGGTCTCATCTCTGACTGGGCTCCTGCAAGCTGATCTTCCAGAGCTTACCATGCTGCAAAGCCCTGGCCAATTATCCTGCTGGAGATTTTCATTCCATTACTCTGCAGATTTGTCTGACTCATGCTTCTGCCTTTTCCTCAGAACAGACATTAATAGAAAATTTCTTCTCTGACCTAGCCAGCTTCTCTCATGGAATTCACACCAATACACTTCTGGAGATTCCTGCTCTTCTATTAAACTGAAATTAGTTAACTGTTTCAAACAATGCTGCCAGGGCAGAGGGAAGTGGCTGATTTGTGGATAGAGACAGAAAACAGTGTTGTCCATCCTATCTAGAATGCCTCTTTTTATGCAGGAAAAAAAAAACCCACAAGCATAAAATAAAGTGAAACATACACTTTCCTCTTTTATTTTAATTAAAAGCACACTTAAAAATATCATTCTACAGAATCATGATTTGTAAAACTGTAAACTTGCTTGTATTTGAGCTTGCTTCTTCTAAGAAACAAGTTCATACTAGTAGAGAAAGGTAAATTAATTCCCCAGAAAGATAATTCTTGCATTAAGAAGTTTTCCTATTTGACACATCCCAACAGCAGATAAAAAAATTCCAAAGTTATTAATACGAAGGGTCAGATGTTAATCATAGATGAACCACACACTTTGCTCTTATCACAGAAGTACCTCAAGTGGTAATACACTGGAATTCCAAGTGAGCTTGGAATTTCACCTTGAAATACCTGTCCTCACCTTGCCCTGTGCAGTCCCCTCTCCCCACTGAAGTGACAAAGTTCTGAACTTTTCAAATCTCCAGACTTTTAATCCCAAAATTACTTTTTACAGACTTTTTAATCCTAAAACACTCTAGAAACTTGCATAAGGACAAAAGCAGCTCAATGACTTCAGCTGGTGAAGATCCAGAGCATGGTCATTACCACCAGCTGCCAAAAGAACAGGACATCTCCCTGCCATGCTGCTCCTCAGTCCTCCAACACACATCCTCTCTGAAAGTCAAGGCAGTTTGCTGTCTTGTAAAGCAGGAGAGAAAAAAAAAAGAAAGACAATGCCATCAAAAATAGCCAGTCAGGAACAAAAGGTCAGAAAGATAAGAGTGAACCCACAATTTACAGGCAAAATCCCAAAGTTTTCACTAATGTCTTGCAAAGCTCAGATCGTAGCCATAACAATATCTAAATATTAGATGGGAAAGGGCTGTTGCCAGAGCCAAATGACTTTATTCTCACCTCCATGGAAAAGCCACTGGGATGTAAAATTATCTGTGCTGAATCCAAATTATCTGTGCTGAATCCAACCACTTTGGCACTCCTGAGGGAAACCTCACTGGTCAAACTGGGACAATCTTAAACTTGTGCCATAAAACCACATTTGCAGGAGCTTGGTGGGAGAGGCTCAGAGGGGGACTTCTATTTAGCAAAGTTTCTTGTAATTAATACACACGTTCATATTAAACTGACATTAAAAAATTATGCAAATCAATCTGGAGTGGTACAGTTAACTCTGGGCCTGCAAGACACATCTGGTTACTACTGAAAATGAGTACTAGGAGCTTAAAAGTGCTGCTCCTTCTCAGAGTTACTTATACTGCCTTAGAATGTTAAAAGTAACATTTCAGAACATCTGGTTTTCCTTTCCACTCCCTATGATATCATGTTTTCCAAGCACATTTGGCAGCTCACTGTAAAGATACAGGCAGACTAAACATACAGGGCAAAGCAGAGTCAAGATGAAAAATTCCAAAGTCCTGGATGCAGTAAGTGTATTTTCTATCTTCAGATTTCAGTTGCACAAGTAGTAAAATAAGGGCTTTTCCCCCATTGGCAACTCATGTATTCTTCAACCTTCTCCTTCCTTGATGAGATGATACACCATGCATCTGCCCTCTAGAGTTTTGGATGTGCCTTTGTAAGCAGTTTTTCATGTATTATGGGATATTGAGTCTCTATACGAGAATCAGTTGTAGGAAAAATAATTATTCTTAACAGTGTCAGATTTCGTATGTACTTTTCTTTATCTCACTCTGGGAGATGAGATTGGCTTTCTATATTCCTCCTGCCTAAAAGGGAAAAAAAAAAAAACCAAACCCAAAAAAACCAAAACACTGCTACAACCCTGCCTTTTTATTGCTTGGCTTTGTCTCTCCCAGTCTGGAACTGGAAAAACGAACCAAAACAGTTCCAGGGGACTGTTTCGCCTGTGAATTTCTACAGACTGTAAATAATACAGAAAAGTGGCTAATATAAAAATTAAAAGTTCCTATTTGACCCATTTCTCATATATATTTTATCATATCTTGAAGCAACCTTTGTATCTCTTCCTTTTATCCTCTTTGTATCTTTACCTATTTTACTATTTTTAGCAGGTCACATTCAAAACACAGATTAGTCAGGACAAACACATTTAAGTTTTGCACACACTCACATTTTATTGATGCACAAGAAGGTATCTGACTCATTTATACTCACCAGTGAAGGAACAGCAAACCTAGAAATCCATCAACACTTGCTTGCTCTAAGTCCTAATTTCTCTGTTTTGTAAAAAAACAGTATGGAAATGCAAAGACATGCCTTAAGAATCCTAACATGACAGTCTTTGGCTTAATGCTTCACATTTAAAAGCAATTTAAATCATGAAGTATAAAACAGAAGAAAAGTACATATTATCAAAAAAACTACTGACAAAATAATAGTCCCAGTACTTATGCCCTGATTAAAACTTAATGACTAATCAATAAAACTGTAATTACAACTTTCACCCTGATGAAATTTGGACTAGTTTATATATTTCTATTGACCAACTAAGACTTTATCTAGAACATACATGAGAAGGTCTTGCTTTCTGCTATTTTATTACAGATTTGTTGTAGCAAATGTCTAAATATCTCTCAGTTATTTTAGAGCTTAGTTCTCTCCTCACACCCATCAGTCCAAGAGGAGAGAAGCTAGCAAAAACAGGAAAATGAGGTGGAAAATGGCTGTTACTACACTTTATGTGTAGTTCCCACACATAAAGCTATTCTGCCATTTCAGTGGCTACCACTACACATTTCTCTGGCCTTGGAGTAGCCAGAGCCAAGCATGTGAGACAGCCCTGAGCAACTCATTTAACTGTGCTGCACCATCTCTGCAGGAAAGCAGCAAGTGCCCGAGTTGTAAAGGTCACAGACCAGCACAGAGAACAAATGGCAACAGGTTCTGATAAAAGGAATCATCTGTAGCCAGCTGGGTTTTGGCTACTGCTGAATACAATTACTCAGTTGTAATTTTCTCACAGGATCCTCACAAGCACAGGTAGTGTACCATAAATAACCTATTCCAAAAGAAGAGACCTTTTCTTCTGGTGGATTTTATTGCAAAGTGCTGGCACCTCTTCATGAGCCCCATTGCCATTTTGCTTGATTCTGCAATAGCACATGAGAAGCTTAAAACACCTCCTGGATCTGTTGCTCCACGACACATCAGGCAAACAAGGAGTTTTAGGGCTGTGCATTGGTGGTAAATAACTTCATGATGATTTCTAAAAGCCTTTAGAGAATCTTCATGGAAATAAGTTCTGTGCATTGCCTTAAGTTAGAAGTTACAACCTGACAGCACAGGCTCTAACCAAGCTCAGAAAGAATCCACCCGAGGCAATACAAACAAATCCCACCCAGCCCTACATCTATCACCTTCTATCTACCCCTACCAGAGTGGTTATAGGTGCTGCACTCATTTATCTTCATGTACTTGGTATGTTAAATTAAGTTCCCTGGCTAAATCTCATCCAGTCTCATCAGTAACATTTCCATGGAAGAATAAAAATTACTTGGGTGTCAAAGCTGATCCCACAGAGAGCAGGGAGAGCTGAGCTGCTTCCTATGGGAAATAGCCAGGCTGTGCTGCTGTAGAAGTGAGGCACCTGGTGTTAAGCTGAAATAAATGGCATCTCCACACTCCTGGTAGCTTGGGACCAACATATACCTAAGCTAAGCCCCCATGGGAAAGAAAAGAAAAAAGTCAGTTAATAAAAGCAGAATACAGACACACAGACACAACAAATTTTTCTGCCCCATGCCATTGGATAAGTTTAAGTTGCAAAAGAGCCAAAAAAGCCTGTTTGTTTCCATACAGCCTGTTTCCTTACCTCAAACCTGCAGAGACAATCTGCACCCCACTTTATCAGTGCAGTGCCAGGACACACAGTGTCAAAAACAGGAGAGCAGAGGTGGCCAGTGCTGGCAGGAACAGCATGGGGTGTTTAGAGCTCAACACCCAGCCCCAAGGCACTGTGCCAATGAAAAATGAGGCTGTTGTAAGAACTGTCACAAGATATGACACCAAACCCAAGTTTCCATAACTGAACACACAATAGATGAACTTCCTTCTTACCACTTCCCCAAGGGAGGCAGCCACCATGTGTGTTGCAGGGGACAAGTAAGATGAAGATCCATGGGGCAGCACGGATTTCACATTCTCATAGGTGATAAAAAAAGCAGCAGCTGAAATTCAAGAATACATGTAATCATTGTACTGTTCCTCCAGCACAAGGCTGTAGTTAAAGCACATTTTTACACCAAAACAATACAACAGTATCAATAGAATTTGTGAGATAATTCCTTCAGAACTTTAAGTTTCTAGCTGACAAACCTCCCATTAATATTGAGGGTGTCATGACTCCAGGCCACATTTAGTAGTGAGCTACAGAAAGATGTGTTCATTAGCCATAAATGTCCAGCACATTTTGAAAAACTGGTCTCTTCCATATCCATAGATAGTGGGACCATCTCTTGGTTGAATTGAATGGATGGTCCTTTTTTTGAGGGGAGGAGGAAGGGAAAAACAAACAAATCAGTTGATTACATGAAAAAAAAAACACAAAAAGCGTGAATTTATACAATTCTGCTACCCTGCAATGTGCAAAACTGTTTCACTAGCAGTTTATTAGTAACATCTTCCTAGCTATTGTCAGTTAAATATTTTGAATTTAGCTCCATAACATTTTTTTCCAAGCTTCTGAAGGATTTGTGTAAGTTCTGTGCAGTGAACAAGAAATGCACAAAACTAAACTGAGCACAGCAACTTGAGCTGTGTTTATTCACTGCAAGAGTCAACTACAAAGGCACTTACACCTTAAGGGTTATTCCTTTTCTTAAAGATAATTTCAGTCCTTAGTCATACGTGTGAAAGATAAAACTACAGTGCAGATTTTGGAGATGTAAATACTGAAAAAAATGACATGTCTTGCGGGGGAACGGATTTTAATTGTAAAGAAGGGCTGTGTGAATTGCCTTCTACTAATCAAAAGATGCTTATCACCTCAAAAGGAGATAACAGAGCAGCCAAGATAAAGAACTGAATTTTTTTATATCACCTTATGAAGGACATCAAACATCTGAAGGTGTCAGTGGATTTGTCAGCAAAGTTCTCCTAACATTTACGTTTGACAGCACAGATTGCTGTTTTTTCATCCCTCCCTACAAAGACAAAATGGACAAAGGCATCAGGAATTTCAGATGCCTTTTCTCTGCAGGGACTAAAAGTATCTACTTTTTAAAAGCCTTATTTTCAAAAGTATTCCTGATGTCTTTACAATTGAAGCATTCTTGTTCTGGGGAGATGGGCAGAGCATCCCCAGGGCAATTAACTCAAACACCTGCAGCGCTCAAGCACTTTGAAAATCCATTCATTTCCAATGCCAAGCAAGAGTGGGTCATGACAAAAGTGTCCACCACAAGCAAGACTCAAGTCCTCTCAGAAATGCTTTAGTGTGCTCCTGTAAGCAAGGACAGGCTTATATCCAGGAATCTTTCAAGGAATTAGGGTTGCTTGTCAGAGCAAACCTGCAGCAGCCTTCACTCCAGTCATGCTCAAGTTTGTTCAATGCTGGAATTCCAGAAACTGCTCTTCACAGCTGGGCATGGACTCACAGAATCCAGGCACCCATAGGAGAGGAAGCCACAGAACTTGAATGTCATATGTAATATAAATTACTACTTAAAGAAGACAAAGAAAATTTACCATTTGGAAAGGATCCTATTGCAGTGGAAGGAACACCAGCATAGATGCCACGAAAACCACCAGCTTTCCTAAATCCTTGAGGACTCTGAAGTCTTGTTTTTACAGTATCCAGGGGAAAAAGGATCAAGTCAACACATACACCAGCAACTCCACCAGCCTTCAAGACAAAACCATGGAGAAAAGTGCATTAATATTCTCAGGAGTGAAGCTGTGGTGCTTATGTGAGTAACTGAGGCATGTGTAACCCAAAGCTGACTGCTGACTGTATCCATCCTGATATTAGTTTATAAATCGATAAATTTATAATCTGATAAACACACAACTCAGCAGCTTCCACAGCTCTAACGAGAAGGGGTCAACAAAAGAAAGCAAGAGATATTACAACTTTTAAACCACTTTAAGTTATTTTCAAAACAGTCTCTCTGTTTTCAATAGTGCAAGCAAAGCAATGCAGGACTTCCCCATTCCACAGAAAAGCCAGACAGTGGATGTCACTTATCAAGAGACAGCACAGAATGACCAACACCTCCAACAGTTGTGTGATAAAATCAGACAAAGACTGAAGCAATTCTCCTCCCCCCTTAGGTATCTCTAGAAAGCACATCCACATTTTTCCAGCAAACATCTTCATTTAAAGTGTTCACACTCCCTCATTGCCTTTGTAGAACAAAGCCTGAAGTAAGCTTTTTTTTTCCCCTGATAAAAGCCTATAGAAAAAAAATGGTCAAATCATTGAAAAGTTTAGATTGGAAGGGACTGTAAAGATCTACTTCCAGACCCTGCCATGGGCAGAGACACCTTTCACTATCCCAGGTTGTCCCAAGCCCCATCCAACCTGGCCTTGGACACTTCCTGGGATGGGGCAGCCACAGCTGCTCTCTCTGCAACCTGTGCCAGGGCCCCACCACCCTCACAGTAAATAATTTTTCTCTAATATCTAATCTAAACCTACTCTCTGTCAGTTTGAAAGAATTCCTCCTTGTCCTGTCACCACGTGTTCTCTCCACTTGTAGACTCCCTTAAGGTAGTGGAAATCATGTTAAATAAGGGTGTTTTCAAAGTCATAAAGAAAGGGGGAAGGTTTTTATCAAAAGAATTCATAAAACAAAAACCAAAAAATTGAATCAACTAGGACTCAATCTTCTTCCATTGTCTGTATTTCTAGATGACTCGGTTTTTGGGGTTTTTTAATTACCCCATAACACATAACATGGCTAGTTGTAGAAAATAATTATTTCACAAAAACATGAGGAAAAGGCTGAAATAAACAGAAAAACTGTTTTAAAATAAAACATCATCAATACTTAACATTATTCCATTATGAGATGTTATTTAGATGGAGTGCTATTCAGAAAACACAGTTTGAAGGCTACTTCGTATACACAAGAAAGAACTGCACAGATTTTTAACTCTGCCTGAAAATAAATCATGTGTGTTACTCTGATGATTTTTTTCAGGGTAACAGAGGATTCAGAGAGGTGTTCACTATCTACTACTAAAGGTTTAATCAATAAGTTAATTACTCTTTTAATCTAGTTGGCTATTTTGAATGCATTGATTCTTCTTCACTCTTTTTCATCAAAATCCTTATCTGCTCAAAATAGCATTGATCAGATTTAATCAGATTTAATCTAGCCATCTGTTAAAACATGAATCAAAAGTTACTAATTGCTTCTTTAAGTTCTCCAAGTTCCATATCTAAAATGTCATTTAAATTCATGAGGTAGCTAACAGAGCACCTGCCAGTGGGTGACAATAGCTTGTGTTTGCAACAACTGCAGAAAAGAGAAATGACTTTTGGTTCATAAGACACCTAGATCACAACTTCTCCCCCACCTGTCAGTAACAGCAGTGTCATCAAAAGAACCTTCAGCAGAAGTTGGAGGAGGATCAGACCTCACTGGGTTTTGCGGTTTCTTCCCAGGGGAGTTGGGGGTTCGGCTTTGATCTCTGCTCTCTGTGATCAGTGACAGGAGCCAGGGCAGGTTTAGGTTGGGTATCAGGGCAAGGTTCTTCCCCCAGAGGGTGCTGGGCACTGACCTGGCTCCCCAGGGAATGGGCACAGCCCTGGGGCTGCCAGAGCTGCAGGAGTTTGGACAACACTCTCAGGCACAGGGGGGCATTGTTGGGGTGTCCTGGGTCAGGAGCTGGAATGGATGATCCTTGTGGAACCCTTTAGCTCAGGATACTCAATGACTCCATAAACTCCATCACAATGTTTAAGCAAAACCAGGATCTAATTCCAACACACTGAGCCACAACCTCACTGCTCACACCCAAAGCATTCAGGGCAGGCAGCTGAACTCTCCTCTCCTGCAGCTCTCCCCACACCAGCCCAAGGCATCACATCCCTGATTTTCCACACAGAACCGACAGTGAGCACTGGGTGTTACCAAGGGAGTCCCCAGCTATGGTGACTGGGCTTCACCCCCTTGCTGAGACCACACATGGAACAGCAGCTTTTAGGGTGGGAAATGCTTCCCAGACAGGGTCAGAGGCTCCTCGTGGTTCTGTAGTGGCTGCTGAAGCCACAAACTGTGGCCACCCCTCAGCTCAGCTCATCACCTTGGCAATGGTCAGGCAGGCCATCTGCAAAATGTGGAATATGTAAATTTTTTCCTAAGAAGGGATGTTCTTTTATGTTAGTGTCCTGTAACTTTCAAGCCTAACAAACAAGAAAGGAGATTTAATAGTTGAAACAGAGAGTAACCAACAGGTTCTATGTGATGTTCATGTGTTAGAATGCCAAATACTTGTCAGTAGAATTGCTAAAGTTCAGGGCTGCATATGTTTCAATGATGTCAGACCTAGAGAAAGGTTAACAAATGCTGGGAAGAAGGATGTACCACTGATAGCAGACTCAAACGATGCAGAATTTATGGGCCACAAGGACATTTGACAGAACCCCAAAGAAAAGGAAGAAACTAATAAAGACAGCTTGACAACTGAGCTGAATCAGCTCTGATAGGATAAAAGGTAATTCCAGCAGGGGCCCAGCACAGCTGCCCATCAATGAAACCCACCGACCCAAAGGAAGAGAAACACTGAGCACGTGGATTAATTACTATGGGAAGCCAGAGAATCATTAACCAAAAAGATACAATACTAATTAATAAGAGAACCTCTCTAACATGCAGCCAATGAACAGAACATTAATGCTTTTATTCGGTAAAGAACAGAAATAATTGTGAAAAGCTTTGATGGTCGCAGTGCTGGCTTTGTGGATTTGCCACTCAGCGCCCCTTTCTGTGCAGAGAAAGAACATACGTATACATATATATGTGTGTATATATATATATATATATATATACAAACATATATGTGTAGATATATACATACACACACATATAGGTGTATAATTTATATTCTGTAAATATACCCCTACTGTGTTTATGGACCGGGCTCTTGCACACCGGGTAAACCAACATATTTTGGGTCCGCTCACTCACCGCCAAGGCCGCCCACGACTCCCGCGGCTCCATGCAGGGCTGGCGGTCCGGGCTGGTGGCTCGGGACGGGATCAGCGGGGCCGGACCCGGGACTCCGAGCACGCCCCGTGTGCGCACATGGGCGCAGCCATATTGCCTGCCCCAATGTCACGTGAGCGCGGCTCTCGGCGCGCCTGCGCGGGGCCCGGCGCATGCGCACGGTGGGCAGCTGCCGGCAATTAGCGCCCAGCGTTAATTAGCTCGTGCTTAGTGAACTTTTGCTGCGAGGTATCGGCACAGCCGCTCTTCCTGGCGCCCCTGAGGTGCCTGAGATCTGTTTGCAAGGCAAAGTTTTCCCATGTGCCCTGGGAAAAAAATGACATCCTAAGGGCAGAAGCGTCCTGAAATTGAGTTTTTTTCCTCAATTGATGTTGATGTCTTCAAGCTGAATTTTCTGTTTCCAGGATGAATTTTCTCACCTTTTATGAACGTAACTGATGATATCAGATAACTCCTACAATAGAAAAGAACTTTCACTTTCCAACATTGCGTAAGATCATATTACCCAAATAAATATGCATTAGACAGGTGGAGAATATGTATTAGATAGGCGGACTCGTAAATTTTACTACAGAATAGGAGTAACATTTTACCCTTTGATTTGTGGGAACTTTCACCTTGCACCCTGTGCAGAATAAACAATGTCTCCTTTTGAAACTGAAGTGTTTCTGTGTTCAGAGGGCTCCAAAAATCAGGAGAGTGTCTGCAGCACAGAGCCTGGTGCAGCGATGCTCACACCATCCATGGGATGTTCCCCCTGGGATAATTCCAACCACCAATGTTCCCCTGAGCCAGAGCAGCTCACAGCTAAAGTAATAAACCCTCCCAGCCAGGGTCTTTGCTCCTGCCTCTTCCCAAGAGCTCTGCTGGCTCTCCTGCAATGGAAAATGCCATTTTTCACCCAGATCCCAGATGCTTTAACATTTTGAATGTGTGTCCTGCTGGCTCTCCCCCTTTCTGCAAAGGGCATTCAATTAATCAGTGGTTCCAAAAGTTGCAGAGAGGATTTTGGCACAGAGTCCTCACACAATCCTCACCCAGCAGGAAACCACACTTGGAATTACGGGAAATGTGATTCTAGAGGAGGAAGAAAGGGTGAGTGTTGGAGAGCACTGCAGTGTGTGCAGAACCAGGCTCCAATTCCAAGATTTCCTTGGCTGCAGGCTCGTCACTTGGGATGAGTTTTGGATGTAGCAGCTGGAATGTGATGATGCCTCACATCCAGCTCAGCTCCTCTCCATCAGACTGCTGAGGGTGTTTGCAGGTGGGAAGCACTGTGCAGATCTGAGCTGTAACGTGCCCACAGCAAGCACTGTGACTGGCATGGAAGTGCCATTGCCAACTCCAGTAAATTCATTACAGCTCTCCTACAACGCTGTGATTTTTTTCTGACCTGCTTCAGTCCCCAGAGACAGGTAATGTTAGAGCAGTCTTCATTTCATTTAGTCTTCATTTTTCATTTTGAGTGAAAAGCTCAAAGCTCTACAGGCAAAAATAGAAAGAACCTGAGTGTGCTGCATTTCTCAACCTCCTTAGATTTTTAAGGCAGCTCCTTGATTTTCTGTCTCTAACTTACAATTGTTACAGTAATCTGGTGGGTTATTTGTTTTAGTTTGGGCTGTACTGTGCTTATTAGGAAATACTTGTTTGTTTCATATCAGGAATGATCAAACAAGTGGACTCCTTTGGCACTACTACCACACCTGTCCCCAGTATGGATGTCTGAGCCCCTGAAGTCTAAGGCAGGCTGGTTTGCTGTCCTAGGAATTAATTCCTGAAAATTCTCATAGCAAGGGGGTTAGAATTGGATATTTAAGGTCTATTCCAACCCAAACCATTCTGTGATTCTGCAAAAGCTTTGATCCTGGTTCCTGGAAGAAGCAGGAGCCACAGTTACATATTCCAGCTGTAATACAGGGATGACTGGACTGTGAGCAGCTATTACAGTAACACCCGTCAGAGCACCTGGCTTTATGAAAGAACCCAGAAATATAAAGAATCTGAAATCTACCATTTCCAGATGGTTTTCTGATGAGTGGCTAAATGAACTCAAAACCTGACAGTTCCTCACTTTCCAGGTCCATGTCTGTCATTAAATTAAGCACATTGAAGCCATATTGAGGGAAAAAAATCAGAATCTGCAGTATTTATCTGAGAAATATCTATTTATCTGCAGTAAATGAAGCGGGCATTTGGACTCACTGCTATCCCCCAGAACCCAGCATGTGCCCAGGAGGTTTCTTGAGGTAAAGGTTCTTGAGGTCATAGCAAGCATTCTTCACATTGCTCAGTGCACAGCTTTCATATATATTCTGTGGCACTGACTTTTATTTATCACTTTCTGTCAGGAGAACTGCTGCTGCATCAGAGAGGTCACAACCTTCTATTCTTCCAAGCCACTGTCCTGTCTTAAATGAACAAGTTCTGCTTAATGCCATAGGCCAAACATTAATCTTTGTGCCAAGTCCTTCAGTGGACTCCCCCCAGGCCTGAAAAGTAAATTGAGTGAAGAAAGAGATCTGGTTTCTCACATCCTTTCTTTCCTGCAAGGAAATGCTGTGGGTGCTCTCCAGCATCTCTCCACTGCGAGGGAAGAAGATGGGCTCAGCAGAGCCTTGCACAGGTAGTGTCTGACTGCACCTGAATGGCAGATGTTCATGGTCAACCCTATTTTCAGCTTCTCCCAAGCCTGAGCCTAGCTGTGGCTGGAGCTCAGGGGCTGGAGGGCAAGCTGGGGAGGCTGAGGAGCAGCCACGTGGGGTTTGTTCCAGGCACTGCAGGGGCAATACTCTGAAACAGAGAACAAACATTTGTGTTCATCCTGCTGCAAGTGTAGACTCTGCCAGCACCACAGCAGCTTGCTGGCCAAATTTTTTTTGCTCAGCCCCTCCTTTCATCTTCTTTTTTGTTCCCTGCTCTTCTTTCTCTGTCCTTCCTTGCCCATGGCTGCAGGTTGGTAGGAATTGGTTGGGAATAGAGTTGGTAGCTTTGAAAAATGGCCATTATGCCCACACCACCTCACCTGCTTCCCTCAGCCTTTGCAGCACATAAAAGCCTTGGCAAGAGATGAAAAAGCCTTTTAATTGTGGTAGGATAAGGAGCATACTGCATCTCTCAATGCACTGAGTGGGATATGAGCTGCCAGCAACACAGCAGCCCTCTAGCTTATGTTCTGCAGAAAAGAGATTGCAGGGAGTGAGTGAGTATCAGCCACTCGTGGCTTCTCTTTGTCAGGACTCCTTAAGCACCATTTTGCATTGATTTCACATTCATCCTTCCACTAGTACAACAATGCCCATGCACAGAAATGCCTGTATGTGTGCATCTGTGAATATGTAACCATGTTATATTCTTTGTGTGTATTTCCTCCCCACTCTCTGGCTGCTGTTGGATGTCTGACACCAGCAGGAGAAGATTTATTGATCTGGTCATAACATATTAAGGCTGCTGAAGAGCAGATGTTAAAAACAGACTTCTTGGCATATATCAGCCCCCAGCGGTATTGGGCTCACACATATTCCAGTTTATTTATTGAAGCAATTGCTCTCCTCATTCTCTTCATTATCTTCTTTCTGGGCAGTTCAGGCACACCAGAGCCAACCCCTTCCAGTCAGTCAATCCTTCTTGGATCATCATTTTTGCTTTAGCTTGGGCAACACCCAAAAACTTTTCCTTCCTGAGAAGGAAAAGCCCATCCCACTGTTCATAAAAGCAGATGGAAATTTATCAGCTGCAAAAATTTATCCTGGCACAAATACAGCGAAAACAAAGACTCAAGGATCCCACTAATTTGATAATAAGCAGGTGCATAATGGGGCCAGGGAAGTCATCTGAAGGGGGAGCTTCAATGATGTGACCACACACAGCACCCAAGGAGCTGTGATGCACCACAGGAGCATCTCCTGGCAGATGAGGAACAAAACACAACCCTTTGACCATAAAAAGGTTGTTTGTCCCATTTTATTACAAACAGCCACAGACCTGTGAAATTCATGCAGAGCAAAGGGCTCTTCCTGGGCAGGAGAGCACCAGAAAGGAGTGACCCTGGTCCTCCTCCAGGAGACAGAGTGGTCACCAGCCTCCTTAAACACCTGCTGTGCACACTCCAAGCTGAAGGCTCCTTCCAGACTCTTGCAGAAGCACAGGTTTATATTCTGCAGCTTATTTCTGCCAGGGATAGAGCAGCAATGCTCCTGGCCACAGCTTGAGTGTAGCAGAATCCAAGAGGTCCCCTGACACCAGGAGTCTGGCACAAGGAAGCAGAGTTCTGTTCCCAGAAATTCCTCCCAGGACAGGTACTTGCCTCCAGCTGCCACCCCAGTGTCCCATGGCCCCTGTGTGTGCTCAGCAGCTTTGCTGCCCACATGCTTCTGGAGCTGCCTGCTTCAGAAAAATGAAAGTTAACGAAATATTTTCCTAATATGTAGCCAGCAGTGGACAGCTGGACCTGGATGGGCAGGAATCTTTCCAGCTCTCCTAATTTTGTCAGTCTTCCTTTTCCTGCCTTAACCCTCGTGCAAACTACAGGCAAGGCTGGTTTAATCTGGATTTTAGGTGATTTTTTGCCATTCATATGCCATTAGCTCCCCCTCACGTTTACAGTAGCATTCCCTGTTCTTAAGTCTGGCAGGGTTTAGAAATTCTGCTGAAATAATAATTGCAGTACATTTTTATGGAAACAGATGGAGGAACCAGACAGCCATAAATTTAATAACTCCTTTGAGTACTTAGTAGCAGAAACACGAGTCCCCAAATTCATTAAGAAAAAAAAGTGATTAATGATGATATAGATTTTGCATAATGATAGAAAGCCTTAAACTGTACAACTTTTGAATGCTCCTCATTTATTCTGCCTTATTGGCTGCCTGCACAATTGAAGATGAAAGGCCTGGGAAAGACAGAAAACATGCATTTCAACTACTGGGTAAAGTAAGTAAAATAACGATCCAGTGGCAATGCAGTGACCTTTACATGTGAACACGTCTTTCAGACTCTCTGCAGTTAGTCTTACAGCACAGCTGAGTTAAT